GAGTACAGGGGTGAAACAATTGTAGATTTGCCTAAAAACAACTAGGAAATTTCTTGAAATACTAGAATTTTTCTGCTTTGAAAAGATGTGCTTATATTAAGGTGATTAGAGCTAGTACCCAAAAATGCGATTAAGAGAAGCTTTCTAATTCTAAAGCTAACATACATTCCCGAATTCAACTTTGGGTTCAAAAATGGTATGAACAAACTGGTTTGCTCTGCAGAGTTGTTTATTTGGATTGTGTTTATTTGACACTTCACAAATGCGCGCAATAATTGTCGCGCAACCTATATTTATTGAGAGGGAGAAAAATTATAATTGGTCCACATTTGTACATTTTGGTTGCGTATTATGTATGCGTTGTTTTTTTTTTTGAATTCTTCCTTTAAAATGATTATACACGAGGCATGAAAATTTCATTTTCAACTTGAATGGTTCTTTTTAAGGCAGATCGCATTCGAAAACCTTGTGGCTGTATCCAGCAACGACCGCATAGATGCACATGTTCACCAACACAGAATCGACAACTCTGCCACTGTGCTCAACAGAGGTTTGATCAATGGCAATTTTCAAATGTTATCGTCCTTTGAAAAGAAATTTCCTGCAAATTTCAGACCGTGTGGTTGCTCCAGCATACCTTCTACTTGCCTTGCTCCATGCGAAGAACAATGTATTAAGTCTTGTTTATCGAACTCGCCACTTCTCTTATGTCAGGTTACTTGCAGACGAACGTGTGATGTAGCTTGCAGGTAAGCAGAACAATCTTATTTTTTGGTTTTTAAAAAGAAACAAAATGTAAAAGTTACAGTAGCAAGCAAGTTTTCAAATCGACAGCTGCTATTTCGTCAGCAACAGTGTCGAATCCTCTTATCATCAATCCCATACTGGGTCAGGGATGTTCAGGCGATTGTAATAAAAAGGTAGATTTAAAGATTTGTTAAAACAGCTTAGTTACAAATATGCTACATTTAGTCATCACTTGCTACATTGTTTACCTACATAACGTTTATTTACACATTCATTCATTCA